CAATTCCGGGCGAGCCGGCCGCCGGCCGCCCGCCAACCGGTGTTGGCACACAGACGGTGCGAACGCCAGCCGGCTTTCTCCCAGCGCAGCAGATCAATGGGGCACGCCAATTTATCGCAGGTTTAGCCTTGTTGACTAGGCTATTCTTCTAATCATGTACAGTTTTATACAAAGATTTCTTACAATATTTCATTCAGTACTTACATGAAGAACAAAGAGAGAAAAAACACGAATAATATTCAATATATATAGCATACAACATGTATCAACACAATATACATGAACATATTGCACCATATACAAACAGTGACCAATTCCGCATTGATTTCAAGCTTAGAAACGGGAGCTAGAAGAAACGACCCCGCTTCCGGGATTCGTGACACGCATCTCACAGACGAGTAAGAAGTCAGCCGTTTGTACCTACAAATAAAGTTTATAGCGATCTAACGAAGATGAGAAATAACTGCAGTACGTTACAGCAGCATGTGCCACAATTGAAGTTATGTTATTCTTCCGCGATAAAGATCCATACCGCGCATTACATATTAGCCATGCATTCACTACCAGTTCCAATTCTAGAAAGAAACATTAGTCTTTAGACGAGGAATACAAATTATGCTCACCTGTTGCCGTACGCATGGACGACACTGATGAGCAGACTAATCATTTCCATATATGTCCACTTGATTTCCATACAACAACAATCAAAGAGTCAACCATGAAGTTGTTGGAAGAGCACTTATATGTGAAGCGCAATACCCTGGAATGGTTTTCAGGAGTAGACAAATAAGCAGATAGTACAGGCTCAACCACGGAGGAGCACCATCATTAGTAGTCTCAAGCATTTCGGTTGAATTGTGAACTAATGCACTCCAAGCTCTGAAAAATATGGGATATTCAGTTTAAAATCTAAAAAAGATGTCAAACATTTACCTATGAGAGTCCACCTTTTTCGTGGGGATAAAGCAGACCAATAAAGGAAGATCACATGAAAACACTAGTAGATATTCTTGAGACAAGCAATATGACAGTTAGCAACGACATGGAAACTTTCCTAGTCTGCTGGAACTGAAAACAAAGATGAGCAATGAAACATGACATTACACGAGCACTCATGTAAAGAAAGACACACTACGACACACTACCACAAAAATAATCACGAAAAAACTTTACGAAGATGGCGCCAAAAAGAATTAGTTGCATAAATGTTCAATTTACCAAGAATTTAATTGATCATTTGAGGAGATTTTTGCACAGAGATGTAGCCCGCGATGATTATTGTACTTATGGCGACTACCACGCCATAAGAAACCCAAAAACCGATTCAAATTTACATCTATTCTTTCGGGAGAAGTTTCATCCACGCGGAAATACCGACCTCACACGAAAAAGCTCTAGGAATGAGTAGTTGTTTACAAATTATCCGTGATAGCCTGCATAACGCGGTGAGTTTCAGTGCTATTACTATGTGCAAAAGTAAAGCATACAGAAAGTAGGGCCAGTGCGTGCCTCTGCGAAGCAGAGGTGACGCACTGGTAAGTAATAATAGCGATTTACTTAGACATATACGAATTGTTGTACAGGTTATCATAGGAGTAAACACACATATTTTAATCGTTAATTACTCACTTCCCCACGAAGTCTTTTGGTTAGCTTCAAGTACCATCTCGTAGAGCAGGCTTCAACTTAGACTCACAGTAAGGGTGAATCACCCAACTCTCTTCGTTACTGTAGATTATGGTATGAACTTTCAGCATAGACTGAATTTATCAGTACGTAGTTTGAAGAAAAAAGGTTCCAAAAACCCTCGAAATGTTTGAACATACTAATTTCATCAAACAATTTTTTCACAGAGCTTGCTTCGATATTTTTTATCACATTTTTGAGAACACAGAAAAAACGCCGTTGCTGTTTACGTGGTATAACTTATGAAAAAAGATTTACGGCAAAGTGCGAATTTCATATTTATAGTCAGTGACTCAGTCTAACCTAATGAAAAAGTTTTCAGCTTGTTGGTATCCATTCTGGGGCAAAATGACTCGCAACCCTCTTCAATGATCCTTCCGTAATTTTGCATTGATGAAAAGAATTGGGTGACTCACTCTATAAGTACTGTGAATTTGAGTTAAAGCCTGCTCTATTGTATGGTGTTTGAAACTAGGCAAAAGACCATGTAGGAAGAGAGCTGTTACAGAGAAGCGTGTACTTACTTTTAGGACGTCCCGTGGAAGAAGATCAGAATATAAGGGAATTCAGAAGTACCAAAAGTATTACGAACCACAAGTCAAGCAAAAATTGATTTGTAGATTGATTGGCGATCATCAGATGAGTAGCCTAGGTTTTTGCAAGGTAACGGTTCGGAATCTGTAAGAATCCATTTTAAGGTGCATCATAAATATGGTCTTCAAAAATCTTAATGTTTACGTTTTCTAATCCGAACTCGGATAGGTTGAATCGTAGGTTTTAGCGCTTCGACAACGAGTGCCAATCCCAGCCAGATTCTTGATAAGATGTTTTAGGAACCACGACGTGTTACCCTATAGTCAACGGTAAGAACGAGAACAAAAGACAGCAAATATGCAAAGCAAACATTTTCGCCTCTTATCACTCACCAATGATGCGAATATTTGTTAATGCAAACTATCTTTGGTGATACCGTGCAACGGGTATCTGAGCTTGACTCCTTCATAATCTTCTAGAAAAAATCACATTTAGCATGTACTGAATTCTACACCATACCTCGCCAATCAGTCAATTGTAAAAACCTTTTTTTATTGTATCACCTACTCTAATCTGCAGATAAGTCATTTATCCTATCGGAATGCCTTACCTCCAAATTCTAAAAGATCAGTCATTAAAAGATAAGGTTGCTTGATTTGATTGAAAGTTATTTAAGAGCGCTTTCAACTTAATTGGAAGCGGGGCCAAGTGATAATGCATTAGAAGTGATCAAGAACGCAGCTTCCATCAAAAAGCTAAGTTTTTGGCTCTTAAAAGTGCAAAAACTGGCTGAAATTGTACCTACAAGATAGCTCACATACCTTCGCCCTTTTTAGTTCCTTTCCATAATTTACAAATTGTCGGGCAGTCAATTCAAACTGTACGAATTTTTCAAATTTTGAAATCTGCTTAAACACTCTGCAAACATTAACTCATCTTCAGCCTCTTTTCTCAAGGTGTGCCTTGTGAGCCTACACTACATAAAGGGCATCCAAAAGGGCTCTTGAAAAGTTTTGTATAACGGGTAAAACTCATGCAGTCTGCATAATTTCACGTTGGAAAGTGTTGAGCTATCTGCGCACTTTCAAGCTTACTTGTGCGAGAGAATAATTTGATCATTTTAAGGTAATTCAGAACGATTCCCTAATTGCTGTCCTTAGCTTACTCATGCTGCCATATCATGAGTACTTACTTCGAGTGCAGACGAAAATCTTGTGTTTTCGCACTTTGAAATGGATGACTTTTTAGTAGAGGCATATCGAACTTATAAAACTTTAAAAAATTCTTCGCTTTCGTTAGAGATTTGCTTACACAATCTTTTGAGTTAAACTATTCGGCAATCTTCCTATTGCTCTTCAGATAAAGGCAATTCCTCATATTTGCGTCAAGCCGTCTTGAGTACGTCTGCACAATTTGGGAGGGTTGGTGGGAAGGGGAGGGGGACACTCGAAACAGATGAAGGCGAAAGGCAGAAAAGAGCTAATCGAAAAACATAATCACATCATAATGACATGGGTTACTGTTGCAATCAACGTTATTTATCTACACAATTCAGCGTATAAACGATTTGATATGTCACTTTTGCGTATCTATCCACTTGCCAGCAGACACTCTGTATGCTTTTTGTTTCGGAATGTAAATTAAGTAAAAAAAGCAACGGTAACTTTTCATTTTTGTCTAAAACTTCTGGTAAGCAGTCGTTCTTTTATGTCAAAGAATAAGGTAGTATGGCCATCCACAACACAATATTAGCAATATCAGGAGTATTTTATAATCTGATTCGATTACAAATTCACGATTTTCTAGATACAGATCACTTTTGTCAGAGGAAACCATTAAGTGGAGCTGTAAGCGCAACCACATGTTCTTTGTTGAATTCCGTTTCCGTTCCAAAGACTCCCAGTTGTCACACCAAATCTCAGTTCCAATCTTCGAATCTCTCAAACTCTTGATGGTAAGCGTCAACAGACTACTGAAAATGAGTTGGTAAATTTATGTTGCAATGGGGCTTGTATTTTCAGATCAACTGTGCTTCTAAAAAAAACTCGTACAGCAGCAAGATCTGGGATGAAGCTGAGGTCACTGCAGTATTTCTGGCTCATCACCTGCTTCATCTGCCTGCTCTCATTGGTAACAGGTAAAAAATTAGCATTTGTGCAAGCTATATGGAGGCATGGGGATCGGGCACCTTGGTCACATCCTTACCCAAATGACCAGTACGATGAAAGTGCATGGCAACGAGGCTGGCTGCACTTAACTAATGTAAGTTGGATTTGGGTCCGCTTCAAAAAATTACCAGATCATCAAAAATCTAGATCGGCAACGTTCAGATGAATGAACTTGGAAGACTTTTTCGGTCAACATATGGATCCCTTATTTCATCTCATTATATAGCGAGCCAGGTGACTTAGCCAGCTTAAGGACGGTTTGATAAGCGATAGAAAGACAGTTTAGGTTTATATTCAATCAACGGACTCGGATCGAGCCCTTACAACAGCACAAGCTTTTGTCTCTGGATTCTACCCTGCACAAGATAGTTCCTAATGGCAAAATGGCAGTCTTTGGTAACCAATTCGTTTCACGCCGCGACACCTATCAATAAAAATCTGGTAACTCAGGGCTAAAAAAATTCTGCAGCATAGTTGAAGACTGTGCTTTGTAGTTTGAATTCTTTTTGACAGCAACTTAAACCTCTCTCGGTTGATTGCAAGGACTTTGAAAGTATCGTGGACGCTGATGATGCAAAACATGCTGCTTTTTATAATGCACAGCATGCGAATATGTTCAAAGTGCTCGAAGAAAAAACTGGTATCGCAAATTCCTACGTAAACGTCGATAATGTTTACGATATAACAAGAGAGGTAAGGAGCAGTTTTTCCATTCAAATTGCAAAATTATAGCTTCAAAATTTTCAGTTAAATAACAATTTGACGGACAAACAACCACCATGGGTGTTCCAAACTTGGCTTGAGTATGACAATCGCAGTACAATGGATATAATAAGTGAAATGCGATGTGTACGCATGATGACAAATTTTGATTCCCCTGACAAGGCAAGGGAAAAAAAGATCTTTGTTGAACGCTAGTCAGTTTACAAAAAAAATAGAAAAACATCTGGTGCACTTAGGAACCTACAAAATGAAACACGAATTTATTTCTTTGGTCTTTTCACTAACCTAAGTTTCAAGGACTCTTCACCCACTGTTCTCAACCTGCGCATTTCTTCTTTACCCCCTCTCTTACTGAACTAATGCGATCTGTAACTAAACCTACGATTTTGAACAAAGTTGTGCCCATTTTCTGTAGATATCAGTCTGATTTAATTTAGTTCCAGACGATTACAGGAATGAAGGATCACACCTTTGCTTTACTTCCTTAGAATGTTCTTTGTTTCAGAAATCCGGAGTTTTGAGTTTTTCAAGAGATGGAGAGATCTCAAATATTGAATTTTTCAATGTAGAATAGGTACCACTGTTTAGATGACGGGAGGCTATTTGCTAAACACATGGATCGAAAATGCTTCAAGAGTTGTGCAGGGAACTATAAAGAATCCCAGCAAAATGATGTTGTATTCCGCAGTAGGTCTATTTATAACCATAATCTACCAAAAATGCTGACAATATCATTTCGAGCACGATGGCAGCGTACTAGCATTGATGTAAGCTATGAATGTTGCAAATGGTTTGATGGCTCCTTATGGATCAGCAATAATTATGGAAATCTATAAGGACAACAATAAATTCTTGGTTGAGGTCAGGGCATTGCTTATCTGATTTGATGAAGCCAAGGCCTCTGTTTCAATTCCCGGATGTAAAGATAGATGTACGGTGCAAGAGATGGCTGAACAATATTCAGAAATGGTAGTGACCAGTTTAAGCGAACATCAGGAGGTTATACAGATTGATCACTCGCTTATTTCGTTATCGGAACCTTCACTAGGCGATCATTTGAGATTAGGTTTCAACATGCTAACAAAGAATGTTTCACTTACCTACACAATGGTAAGGCTCTATTTGAAAAACGTACGCCCTCATCTTCTGCCGAAAAGGCGGATCCTCAAATGTCCGTTACAGAAGAATCTGTTTTTTTTATCATCACATCGATTTTTCTACGGTAATCTAGCGCATGACAGGAACCCATTTAGTTTGAGAAAGTTCTACATTGCCATATCTGTCGGATACGGTGGTGAAGTGTATACAGTCTCAACGGTAAAAGACAAAGACACCGCGATGATTTTGTGACTTCAGCTAGACAGTAGATCTCTTCACCGACTAAAATTCATTTTTCTTTTGCCAGTCAGGGCACTTTGTGGGGTTAGATTAGCTCTTCTACTTCCCGTGCAAGGTAATCCGATAAAATAGCCAAGGCTTCTTCTACCGTGTCATCTGGGCCGGTAGCAATCCCCCCGACCTGGCGGCAGGTCTCGTTGGCAGGTCGCTGGCACCTTTTCCGTGAGGTGGCCAGAAACTAAAACCTCAAATTTAGGCCGTCCCAGGCCTTTTTCCAAAAAATTTCTTGACGATGATGCCGCCTCGACTCTGTAGAGAACTCCATAGAAATCTGCGGTTCTAGAAATCCTCCTGTAGGAAAATATTTGGAAGCGCAGAAGGAGCTGCCGGCAAGTTTGCGATGTCAGTTGCCGGCAACCTGCCGGCAGCTCGTCTAAATCCGCGAGATGGCAGCTGCCGGCAGGTCAGAGAGCACGGGAAATAGCGTGCTCTTTTGAGAGAGGGAGCTGCCGGCATCTCGACGTGCCCCTACTACGTCGAGGTGGTGGCACCTTTGCCGATGGCGTCTGTGAGTTTGCGAATTGCGGCGATATCACACAATTTACGTCAGGCGAAAAAATCAAAAACTCTGCTTTCTTCAAAAAATTATCATTTTTCTCATTATATGAGTTTTTCTTTTTTTAAACGACGATTTTCCTACAGAGAAAAAATCTAGTCATGCCTTAAAACGATAAAGAACACTATCTTTTTTGGCAATCCCTTCTAAATCTCGTTTGCACCGATTTCGCCCCTCTCTCGCTCATATCAATCAGCTATTCTTTCAGGTCAAAGTCTCTCACGCAATGTATTGATCCCTCTTACAGGCGGCCACTTACCGGTGCGTTCCTCCTATTGCTGGTGTAATCAGTAATGGTTGCCCGAATGGTCGAGTGGTTAACGGGGTGGCACTTGAAGTTAACGCACTTAGGTTCGGCCGCGCGCGAGGTAGTAGTTTTGCGGCTGTGTGCGTCATCAAAATTTGATGTGCGAAATGATTGCGCACTAAGGTTACATAAGATTATTAAAACCTACATTCACTCCACGAGCTGCCGCCGATGATGGCAACTTCCCGCGAGGTGTGCCTACCTGCCGGCATCTTTGATGCCACCAGGTACGGTAGATTACTACGGGCCCTGTTCGTTAGATGATGGTGTAGGACAAAGTTAGTTCTAGCCGATGTGGGGAAGGCGAGGAGAGTGATCAGGTACGACAGGCTATGCGAAAGTGCATTCGTAGCTCGGCCCGCTCCCCCCCCCCCCCCCCACTACAGTATCCGTACAGTTTACGGCAATAGTTGCTGAAAATAAAACAGTGGCGTTTCAGGCTTACAGTTTGCACAAAGTAATCAAAAAGATAAAGGATTTGCTGTTTACAGTATCCTGGGATGCGCTGAGCGTATTCTACTTCGTAGTTGAAGTGGCTTTTGAAGGCGTGCGAGCACACTGCCTTTTACTGTTTCAATTTGTAAAGACCCTCTTCAAGAGAGCTTTACCGGCGCAACTCAAATCCAAGGTTCTGGATAAAAGGTGCACATCTACAGTGTATCACAGTAGTCTGCAGTTTGTAGTCTGCACAAACATCCATCTATTTTGACATTAGTCAAACAAATTATCTTCGCTAATTTGAATGAGACTGCCAATGGCTATCTTTTTGACTTTACTCATTCAGGTCTGCGGAACGCCAATGACTGAGTGCAATACTTCAGAATCGCCTGCGTTATCCATCGCCTTTTCTATTTTAGTTGTCGCAATAATACCGAGCTTATCATAAGGTGTGCGTCTTCAACATATCATTGCTCATCTTCAACATATCTTTGTGTATTTGCCGTTTCTCACTCTCATCATAAGCATATACTTTTCTTTCTAATCATTTGATTTATTTCTGTTGTCTAACATCAGTTTTTGATTTCTTCTTCTTGGGCATGACAATAGGCCTTATTATTTGAATGTTCTTTGCATGTACCAAAGCCAGAAAATGTGATGTAGGAAATCGGTCAAATGCATTTCATCAATACACTTCACTTGATAGTGCTACACTCAGCCATTTGGGAATACTGAAATATATCCACAATTGATGCACTCTTCTTGATTCTGACATTAAGAGTGCTGAACTTTCATTCCAGCATATGTTTCGGTTTTGTTGTCCGAACCTGGAAAAATCATGACCATTTGCAATTCTTTCACCAACGTAATGGTGTGAATAAGGCAAATTTGTGTAGTAGCAACTAATCCGGTAGTTGTAAGAAGAATCAAGCATAATTTATATGTAAATTCAAAACTCAATCCGTGTAAGGACTGAAATGAGGTTGAAAGAAAAGACTGTTGCCTTTATTTGGTTTTACAGCAACAAGGCGAATCTCAAAAGTGTATGAGAGACACCTTTCAATAAAGCAAAGCAAGCTTTGTAAAATGACGGAGACGTCAAACTTTTGCGCATTTCATCCACGCGAAGTGTGACACCAAAATTTGAAAAGCTTCAAGCGCTCAGAAAGTGGAAAAAAATCGGTTCCCCCCCCCCAAGCTCCAGTCTTTTGAAATATCAAATTCAACATGAAAACGAAAAAGAAGCAGTGTTTGATATTTGTGGAAACTAGCTTGTAGAGACCCCCACAATGGTCGGCCGCCTCATCGTGGCGTGGGGATGACACTGGGTGTTGAACTGCGATGCACAGCCGAGTGTATACACTGCCAGGGCCTCCTAAGCTGTGAAGGAGTTCGACGTTTCCGGTTTCGCCTAGCTAAGAGCCGACCAGGATAGATCTCCCGCCGTCCGATTTTTTTCGGCCCTTAGGCGGTCCTCCCGGCTTCACACCCGGGTCAGCGATTGCTCCGTGGAAATCAAGAGTTGGCCTAGTAAACCTGCTCTTGTAGGGAGAAAAGTTTTTATTACTCGATTAGCAAAGAGAAGAGAAATAAACCCTGCACACCGGAACCCCCTACGGCGCCGGGTAGTAGCAGGAAGGTTGTCAGGGCCCTCAATGTTCCTTTCGAATTGGACATAAACGACACGTTTGCCAAAAGACACTGCATGGAGATTACCTCATGCCCTACACCTACAACGCCAGAAAAGTCTCCACAAACGCCGACCTTCACGCTCTTTTCGCTGCAAAGCACAGCAAGTGCCACGTCATCGCTGTGCAGGAAATGAAGTCCAGGGAGAAGGACGTGCGACAAATGAGTGATGGGACACTTATCATTCGTGGCAAAGAGGTTCCATGAGGAAGTGCTGGATGCGATGGCTTTGTCGTCCACCCATCTATCGTATACCTTGTCGATTCGCATGAGATCCTGCCACCTCGAATAGCCATCCTACGACTACGACCTCCACGTCAGAAGACCGTCAGCATCGTCAACTGCTACTCACCAACATCAGCAGCTGACGATTCAGAACTAAATGCTTTCTACGAAGACGTGAAGCAGGTTGTCCAGCTGAAGTTCTTTTACGAGTTCGTTGTGGGCGATTTCAATGCGAAGATCGGCATGCCACTAGAAAAGGAATATAAGATCAGGAAGTTTGGTTGGGCTCCGGAACGAAAACGGGAATCTCCTCGTTGCGCTTTTCTCCGCCGCACGACTTTTCCATGGAAATTCCTTCTTCATGAAGAAAGAACATCGCCGGTGGACATGGGAATCGCCCACCGGAACGACTCACGCGGAGATCGACCACATTCTCACCAACCGAGGATGGAGCTTGCTCGATGTATCAGTAGTTCCATCCTTCTGCAGTGGCTCCGACAGCGCCTCCTTCGAGCGAAGATACGATTCAGCCAAAATCTGGAAAAAGAAAGTCTGTCACAGTGCCGCGAGAAGGAAGGAAGT